AAAAAAATCCTAGTCTACTTTTACACATATACACACAAGCACGCAAGCCTTACACCCATTCTATGGGAAAGCCTTTCTAGACTAACCTGGTTATTTATTGTATGTTCTCTATGAAATTTTCAGGGTTTAAAAAAGACTATTCATTTTAAAATGACGCATGTCCAATATTAGGGGAAACAGGAGGAGGTATAGAACAAATTAAATATTCTGGTTATGTGCGTACTATACCAGAGCCTATATACCAGATTTGGTTTCTCTAGCTCTTATGGGCGCCGAGTTATGCCTAAAAAAACAAGATTTAGATATCGATAACATCGAAACGGGCGAGTTATCGATAATTTTAAACTACGAGAAACTACGTGCTGTAGCACTAATAGTCCGTGAGATCGACGGGAGACAGTCATGGCTAGATGGATTCGAGTGCCGATACTGATCAAGAATATACTTATCTACTTTATAGAGTCAAAGAGCCCTGTTACAAACAATTCCACATAGCCAATATACCGTAAAGAAGAGATTTTGTCATGCCCAAACAGAGATGCCCGGTTCCGACCATTCATCATCATTTCTGGCCTGATGATTTTATTTTGATTTCGGTTGCGAAAACGTTTGGGGATTACCAGCCTAATGATTTTATTATAGTTATCATCCCGCAGCCGCATTGATTGATGGCAGCCCGGTTCATTGTCTCGTTCATTTATTGTCCGTTCGAGTGAGTCCTCATTTAAGTGTTGCTTTATTATATTAAAAGCACATTAATGCTGTGCGGCGTTGTCGCCGCTTAATATATGGAAATTCTTTTAAATTTGTAATAAACTGCCCCTCGTTTGTGGCAGCCATACAGCTCTGACAATGGTCCATAGACCAAAAAGCCGAAACGTCAAACAACGGGCAAACAATTTGAGACCAAAAATCAGCGCAGCCTGCACACAAAGTTTTGTGTGCGGCGACACTTTGCCATTGTCTCGGGTTAGTCTGAAAAACTATAGGCTCTGCAGACAGTCGAATGCGCTACAATAGAAACTATATACTCAATAAGTTGAATAAATATGAGGGTATGATTGCATATTAGCAGTTGTACAAAAGGTTAAGTTTTATCAGGGATGCAAAGCCATAAAAAGAGGTCGGATTAAAAACCAGTTTCATGGCTTAAATCCAGGCTCGTGAACCTTCTTATCAGCAATAGCTCGGGTTTAAGTTAAAACCTTGGTTTTATGTTTCAACTTAATAATGTTTTATAATTAGTTCGCTTCGAGTTTCGGTTAAATGGTTTATTGGGTTCATTTTAGCAAAAATGAATTGTGTTTTCGAACTAAAACCGGTTCGCCTCAAAACCGAAGGCTGATTTTTGAGAATGCATATAAAATGAATACTTTTCAATTATCTCAAATATATCTGTCAATAATTCTCAGTAAATTGAAAATATATATTTCATTGAAATTCGATTCGGAAGTGATTTTCAGAGCATGGGTGATATGAGTTTTCACTTTATCAAATGCATACAAGCCAAAGAATATTCTAAGGATTCTGATAAAAAACAGAATATTTTTAATGCAATTTCACAAATATTGACTAATATAAAAAAATGACTGAATTGAAGAAAAATCTGTCGAAATTGACCCGAAAGTAAAATGTAGAACACGCCCATTTAAATTTCCTCAGCCGTATAGTATAAATTTGCTTTTAGCATGTTATCCTGTCAATTAGACTTTCAATTTTCAACACACGCCTTGGGCGAATCAAGAAACAACACAAATTTACAAGCAGAGCACAGAGCACAGATTGTTAACCAAGATTTTTAAACAAATAAACATTGAATAAGTTAAGAACATTTACATAATAATAACATGCAACCAGGCTAAGTACTTATGTATATGATATTGATATCGAAATGTTTTCATTTTTATTTGATTTTTTATTTAAAAAGTAATTTCTTGTTTAGATTTAAATAATTTTTGAATTATTTCAGTAAATTAATTTATGGACACCAACAAAGGCAAATGTCCTGCTTGAGTGTAGGGCATGAGGCTCACATAAACCAAAGCAAAGCCCGCAGCATGGTGCCACTTTGACTGACTGCCACGCCCCCGAACGCCCTCTCTCTCTCGTAATTACGCGCAACTTTCGACAAGTGTCGCCAGAGAAATCGCCAGCGTCCCGCCAGCTTTAGTGGGTGCTACGTGTCCCTGGTGTGGCTGCAAAGTTGTTGGGGCTATGGCGTCTTGTTTGATGCTGCCATTGGAGGCGCCACAGAAGCGCACATGGCGACCAAGGCAGCTGCGGTTTAATCTTCTTTTAAATTGTACCCCCAAATAGTCGGAGTGGTGTGTGTGTGTGTGTGTGTGTGAGGTGGAGAGGGGGTTGTACTCTGTACAGCAGCATGGGCCAAAAGTTTGCCGCCACTTGCGCTTGATAAGTTAGAACAAAAACGAGCTGGATGCCCGGCTCGCTGGCGGGAGCACGGGGAGCGCGAGGAGCAGTGGTTGGCAGCCTGAAATAGTTGAGAATTCTTCTGTGGGAAAAGTCATTGTAACACTTTTGTGGCGCTGCTGTTATTTTTCACTCTAATTAGCCGTCATTGGTTTGTGATTTGTGGGCGTGCGCCGTAAAACACCTGCTGAAAACAGTTGGCCAACAAAGTTGCTGACCACATTCCATAGAAAGCCTCAGCCAGCTGAATTTGCTGAAGATTTTGATTTACTTTTGGCCACATTAATCTGAAGGCCCAATAGTTTGCCATCCACTTGGCCAATTCTTGCAGTTTACGTTTGTCCCAGCAGCCTGAAATGGCCGCAAATAATTTACAGCAAATGACTTGGCCACAATTTATGCAGACCGGAGACCGCATTAACCATTTCAGCAGAGCCAAAAACAAAGTAAAGTATTTAATTAAATTAAATACAAAAGTGTGGGAGAGCGAGAGAGAGAGAGATAGCTTTTATGGTCGGTCTTTAAAGCGTACGTAAATCATTTAGGACACAAAGAAAGACAACCCGGCTAATGGCCAATGACCAATGGGCAATAAGCCATGGGCGATGTTTAATGCTGCTCCTGCTCATTGTCCAAGCCGATCACGCCTGCCATTTGTGTGGCCACATTAAAATAGACTAAAATGCGTCAGCAGTCTCTGTCTTTATGGCCACTTAATGTAAAACAGTTAATTAGCAGCACTCACACACACACACGCGCGCATAGCTTATTTCCGTTTCGGCATGCAAAATGGCAGCCATTTTAACTGCCGCTGACATTTTCGCCATCTTGGCTGGCAGGTGGCCGCCGTTTTCCATCTGAAGAGCCGGCAAATTACTTTTGATTAATGAAACGCAATGAGGCGGACAAACATTGTAAAAAAAAAATTTTTAATAAAGTTAATAAGCGGTCACAGCCATGTTTTCAATGCCGGCAGAGTAATGCACTACGATATATGTTAAAAGATTCAGTTATAAGTAAATTATATATATGTATATATTTCTATACTAAATCCAAAACCATTTCAAATCCGACTTGATATAAGCATACGATTTTGAAGCTTATAGCCTTATATCTACTATATAGTTTACTGCTATGCTTTATATTCCATACTTGCAATATAGCATATATTTTTTCCCACATAAATATCTCATTATAAAACCATAACAATTAGAAATCGAGTATTTTAGAAAATGGGTATAAAATGAAGTATATATATAAATTTAAAAATGTCAAACAGTAGTATTAATAACTATTCCAATTCTTACGATTTTACTTTAACCCGCGCTTTAAGAATTTTTAAACGCATCGCTGCCAACTTAATTGAAAATGCTATGCTATGCTATGGCTGCTCTATCTATCGCACGCCCTCTTTCGCTCACACCTTCAGCTGATAATAGCTGATTGCATGCAGCTACTCAGTGGCAGTCGCAGTGTCAGGAATCACAGGATGTCAAAAATTAATATGCTTTTGTCCATGCAAAATAATAGCTGAGATGCCATGACATTGTTGTTGTTGTTGTTGCTGTTCCTTTTGTTGCTGTAGCACTTTATTTGTAATGCTGTTGGTAAGAGCGTTAAAAAGAGACAGCAACAGAGCTACTCAACTATCTGGCAAGGCCTCAAGGCGTGCAATTTCTTTGGCATGCTACTTTTGTCGCCTTGTCCTTGTCGTAATTATGAACTTAACAGGCAGCCCGAGGCGTGTCGTCAGCGGAAGCAGCGCCACGGGCGATGCCATTGTGTTAATATTTAATGGATGCCATTTCAGCGATGCGCTCTGATTTTTAATTGAGCATATGTACAAGCGTGCAGTTGCATTTTTAATTTTGTTGTTTTTTTTTTTGTGCTGTATTTGCTTTTCTGTAATACACTTAAAAACGTATATTTACAAGCGTGTGTGTGTATGTGTGTAAATGCATTTGTCACCAAATGCATTGAGGGTTAAAAGCGACGCTTGATAGCATTTAAATAAATGAGCAGCTGTTTGTTCAGCCTCATCCTTATTGGCACTCATTAATGGCTACGAAGATTCTTTTGCGCTACTTTCACTTAATTCATTAGCTGCGGCTGCGTTGATAAAGCTAAGGATAAGGCCATGGCCATGGTCGAGCAGCTGCTGATGTTTATATAAAGTAATAAACGTTTACCGCGAATTCATTTGCATATCCAAGGCGCTTGTCAGTGGCCTCTTTTGGCAAGTGAACGCATAATTAAATTAAATGACTGACAAGTACAGTTCACTTGCGGCTGGTCGTCTTGCCCTCTGCGGCTGAGTTGGCTTATTAATAAGAAAAAAAGCCTTAAATTTGCATGTCTGTCTTATTTGCTTTGCCTGGCCTTAATGCCTGCTTTTTGTTAAAAGAAAATTACGTCAAAAGTAGCCTTAATAAGCAAAATAAGGCCCAATATTATTGAAGGTTCATTCTCGAATTTTCACAATTTGAAATGTGCGCGCCAAGCGTCTGGCGACGTTATCTGCGTAGTGCTGCCACCTTAGCATACGAAGACCAGCTGGCAGCACTTGCAAATTACGTGGCAACCTCTCGCGTCCGTCTTGTGTAATAAAAAACAACATTCGAATCATTAAATTATTGTTTAAAATTTTAATTCATGTAATTTTTGACCCGAGGCCCGTACACACAAGCTGTGTTTGTACTGCCCCCAATTATTTAGGCAGACCGCGGACATCAAATGGTATGATATTGTTACCGATTGGTCCAAAGGGGGAGCACCCGTTCAAGGCCGCTCGACTAATAAAATGAACTGGAATTTGTTTGTATTTGCAGAACGTAAATAAGTATTTAATTTCCGTTAAATTTGTGGAATTGTTAGACAAGCGAACGAAATGCTGCCCGCCATTGTCTTCCGGCAAATGCATCGTCCGCTCAGCGCCGGTGGTCTACACCATGGAGCCGCAACAACATTGAAGCATGTGCTCGGCGTAGGCGGCAGTAGTTTTGTCAACTGCCTGAATCGCTATGCCGCTGCAACCGGCTTCATACGCATCTCCTTTCTGGACATCAATCAGCGTCGCAATTGGGATGTGGCTAGACTGCGGCTCTATGCCGACGCCAAGAAGCAGTCGCTGCATTTGCGCACACTGCAAGGCCGGGATTTGCTTCAAGGTGTCATCGATAAGCAGCGCGCCGAGTTTATAGAGCGCAAGAACTTCCTGGTCGATGATATACGGGAGGCGCGTCACAAGGTGCAGGAGCGAGTGCGTGAGAAGATTGTCGAGATACGCGAGGAGCGTGAGAACATCATGACCATACCGAATATGCTGACTATAAGTCGTGCCATACTCTCGCCATATATTGGCTATGTTATTGTCCAAGGCGACTTTACGATGGGCATGAGCCTGCTCGTCGTCGCTGGTATAACAGATCTGGTGGGTTTTTGTTTTTAGCTGCTATGAGACTATATTTATTATGTACTTTCTCCAGCTTGATGGTCAGATTGCGCGCCGTTGGCCTTCGCAGGCGAGCAAAGCCGGCTCGTTTCTGGATCCCATGGCTGATAAGCTGCTCATGGGCTCCTTGGTCATTTCATTGTGCTACAGCGAGTTGCTGCCCATGTGGCTGACCGGTGTTGTTGTGTTCCGAGATGTGTTCCTAATTGCCGCTGGTTTTGTCATACGCTACATAAGTCTCCCACCCCCCGTAAGCCGCTCTCAAGTATATACCACCAATTTTTAAAACTCAATTAGGTATTTCTCTTTCGCAGAAAACGTTTTCACGCTATTTTGATGCCACCCATGTGACCGCCCAATTAGAACCTACATTTATCAGCAAAGTGAACACTGGCGTTCAGTTGGCCACAATTGGCATTAGCCTGGGTGCGCCCATATGGAATTATATCGGTAGGCCATATCAAAATAATGTTCTTAGAACTATTATTCTCACATTAACCTCCATAGATCATCCGGCGTTGCATGGACTTTGGTATTTAACAGGCGTAACAACCGTCGCAGCTGCGCTCAGCTATGTCATTAATAGACGCAATACTTTTAAGATTATACAAAAAAAGAAATAGAACTGAGCATTTCTTCTACTATTATCATGGAGAATAGTAATAGAACACACATCGCAATGATTAGTATATAGTCTTTTTGTAAACAAGATAGCTATTAATAAAATTATATATTTTGTTATCAATGCTGCATTGATTTGAAACACTCAACTGTTGTTCAACTGTTACACATGGCGAACGCTTGAGTTAGGCTAGTGCTGCCAGATCGTTGACAGCGAGTTGTACAATTTGTTTAATGCCTCGATGATGTATGTGTGTATGCGAATAATAAGCTAAGTGTGTACTACTATGTAATATTACTGCATAATTTTATATAGATTCCCAATGTAGAGCTCATTTAAGAACTATGATAAGTTAACGTGCAGTACGTTTACGAAAGCCACAAAGCTGCCACTGTACCGAATTGTTGAATTGAATGGCTCTGGCTGTTTTCAGTGTTGCACAACGGCACTCTAGAGCTGCGCGCATCATTTTGTTGTAATCGCTCAAACAAAATGTTTGAAACGTAAAAAAAAGTAAACTGCAACAAATACATATATTAAAAACGGCCTGCAAAATGTGAGGGCAATTGGAAAAGTTACTTAAAAATGAAAACAAACATAATATTTATGTGCTTGCAGGCCCAAAATTAGCGATAATACAATGCGCGAGCTGGAGGACATATTGAACGAGAGCGAAACCTATGCGGATCGTTTAGCCGCCTTCCTTAAGCAAAAGACAGCACCAAAGCCGCAGAGCAACACACCTTTTGTCCTTGGCGACCTAGACATCACATTTGATTTCGATGTGGATTTGGTTAAATTGCCGCCAAAACCGCAACCAGCTGCAAAGGATACGGCAGCAGCCAAAGAGCAGCCCCTGCGTGAAATTACCAACCAACCCCCTACGTCTGCTGAGCCTAAAGTGCAACCAGAAGCTCCGCTTGTTTCAAACCGCCAAGAAAATGCAGCACCCCCGACGCCGCCAGCACCAGCGCCTCCAATTACCTCGCCACGCAGATCCACTACTCGACGCAGCGGCGTTCATGTGCCGGGCTCGGATCGACTGCGTCGCGTGGCCATACATCGACGCTCGCGCAGCTGTGGACGTCGCGACTTGCTAAAAGAATTCAACAATGCCTCGTCCAACGGCTCAGATTTTGTAAGCCTATATAGTAACTCAAAGATTTGCCTGCTAATTAATGTGCTTTGACAGCTTCCCACTGTGAGCAGCACGCCTGCTTCGGAAAAGCAAACCGCAGCCGGGCCGGAACAGCCAACACAAAGAGAATCATCAGTGGCTCCAACAGTATTGCAGGCTGTGCCACACGTCGAACACAGAGACGAGCTGCTATCGCACGCCTCCAACTCGCAGCACTCTATGACGCACTCATCGCAGCGTTCCACGACGCCCGATAGTAGCGCCGTCAAGCGACGCACCTACACTGTAGAACTTGGTCCTGAGCCGGGTCAACTATTGTTGTCGCCCTCGCGTAGCAGCAGTTGCCATAATTTGCGCCCGCAACGGTCGTCGTCAAACTCTATTTATAATACTTCGCTTAGACAGGCGCGCGGTCTTATGTCACGAACGAGAGAGCAGGCGGCATTGTCCGCAGCTAGATTGGAGCTACTAGCGTCGGATACGCCACCACGTATTACATTGCCGCACACGCAGCCCGAGCCGGAGTACATTGTGCCCGAAACGCAGCCTCAGCCGATGCAGCACATGCTGCAAAATTTGTCCAGCAATGCGATGGTGGCACCTTTTGTAGTTATGCCCATGGCTTCAATGGTCACGCTCAGCTCGAAGCCAGCTGTAGCGCATGTGGATGCAGCCGCTCAAGTGGTAGCGGCGCCGGTTGCAACAATGGCCAGTCGCAGCATGCAAACCTCCCGCAGTCCGCCTGCCTTGCAGGATGACTTAATGACCGATGACGAGAGTGCTGACGAGCGGCAGGCAAGTGGAGCACCCTTAAATCTAGCGCCCACCGGTGGCAACACCACCAGGCAACGTAATTTACGCAAGCGTGTGCAACGTGCAGAGAGCTCTGTGCAGCTGCTCGACTTGCATCGTTCACGTACCAAGAACTCACGTCACCGTGGCAAAAATATGCCGCGCCATACGGTGCTCAATAAACCCTCCCAACCGGCCATCAATGGCGAACAGTTTGCCTTCGAGCTGGCGCGCATGAGCAATTATGAGATTATGGATTTACGCAAACGCAACTCTCTGGGCAGGCAGCACCCAGTGAACGGTCATCGCGAGCAGCCCGAAGAGCATCAGCTGGTGTTGGACCAGCACATCGAATGGGAGATATTGCGACGTAATCTCGATGAGCCGAACGAGCAGGCTGGGCCCCCGCCACGCACAAACTCAACGGCAACAACTGTGCCCACATCCGAGAATGACTCTATGTCTGCTGCATCTTCTATTTCGTCGCCGGCCGCACCGCCTATGGGCTTTAGGGACAGCACCATGCTGGAATCCCATCAGGACAGCTCTAGGCAGCATCAGCGACGCTCGCGCCTCAGGCGCCGTGAAACGCTTATGGTAAGAATTTTGTGATTCAACTGAGCTTATATTTTATCCCAATGCTATAACTCTTCATCTTTAGCAAACGTTTGAGGCGGCATCCTTGTCGCCAGCGGTGCCGCCTGCTGAATTCAGGGACAGCTCAATACAGGCGCTGCACCATCAAAAGGCGAAAAGGCAGCCACAGCCATCGCGACGCTTGCGCTCCAGACATCGAGAACTGTCAACGGTAGTTGCTAAACAAAAATATTTGAAAATTATTTTATAACCAATCTTCAATCTAAACAGAGCGAGGAGGATGAGCTGCAGGCGGTCTGCACGCCACCCGCACAGTTTCGCAGATCCAAGTCCAGGCAGCGGGAACGGCAGCAGCTGCTTGAGCCCGTACTAGCAACACCACCATTGGCTTTCAATGATGTGCCCGTAACAGATGCAGGGGAAGAGCTGCAGCTGCAGGAGCAACAACTGATGCCACCGGCAGAATTTAATTCGCATGTGGATAATTTGATAGAGCAAGCTCCCACCACACAGCCGTCAATGCTGGAGGAGACTATGCCAAGTGAGCAGCCAAGCACCAGCCGAGCCGCGCAGAAATCTCTGCGGCGGAATACTTCTAGGCAGCAGAGCAATCAGGAAAAGCAGCAGAAGGAGAAAGAGAGGCAGCTCAAGAAGATACAGCAGGAGGAGGAGGAAAGCCAGCAGCAGGAAAGGCAAAAGGAGAAAAAGCAGGCGGAGAAGCAGCAACAGGAAAAGGAGCAGGCGAAACAGCAGCAGGAAAAGGAGCATGCGACACAACAAAAGGAGAAGCAACAGAAAGAGAAGCTTCTACTGGAGCAGCAGCAAAAGGAGAAGTACCAGCAGGAGCAACTGCAAAAAGAGCAGCAGCAGGAGAAACAGCAGCAGGAAATGCATCAACAAGAGCAATTGCAGGAGCAACAGGAAACGCCCATTCAGGAGCAACCACAAGCAGAGCAACCGCCGCCTTCAGACGCTGTCTTTAAGAAACCAACGGCGCCAGCGCCACGTGCAAAACGTAATCAAAAGAGTTATCTGGAGCGACAACTAAGTAATCTGCGCATTAATCTAGCCAACGAGACGCTGCCGCCGGGTCAAAATGAAGACGAAGCCGATGCCAATACAAGTAAGCACAAGTACTGAATGAATAAAATCAATTATTAACGTATTCTCCACTCGCTCTCTGCCATAGCCGGAGTGCGTCGTTCCAGACGCGGTCAAGTGCAGCTATGCAACACTTGGGTGCACACCATAAGCGATCCCTTCAAGTTTATGCGCAAAACGTTTGATCCCCCATCGAAGACAGCGGCCAGCAAGCCCAAGAAGCGAGCAGCTGCAGCTAGCGGCAGTTCCTTGATGGAAAGACCACCGTTGTCCAGCAGCACGCCGCGCAATGCTGCAGTTACTCCAAACAGCGGTACGACTGGCAAGCGCAAGCGGGCGCAACAGCAGCATCAGAACAGCGAATCAAGCGATGCGGATGCCATTTCAGGCATCAGCCGTCTTAGCGGCATAACAGAACAAGAAGAGGCGGAGGATGGGCCGGTAGCGCAGCCACCTGAGCCTAAAAGAAGGGGACGTAAAAATAAGACGCCAGCCGTGGCCAGCGATAAGCCACCAAATGAGACAACTAAAGCCAAGAAAGGTAGCAAGAAGAAGCAAGATAACGCTACAGTTTCTCAAAGGGAAGAACAGGAGATCCCTATGCCGGACTTGGAGCAGACGCCTGACTTGCCACCCGTTTCTCCGCTCCGCAATCAGTCGAACGAACAATCATCGGAAACCCTAATGGCCTGGCTATGTGGCGACAGGGATGTGCTGCCAGACACCACTGAAGTTAGCGAAATCAAGACTGATTCCATGACCGTCTGTAGGTTACTAATCTATATAGCTACATATCTATCTAGATTCATAATATATACAATTTAATGAATATATTTTGTTGCTTGCAGCACGTGCAGCCAATTTACACTTCTCGAAGATTGACGGCATTGAGTATGCCTTTTATCATACCGAGGATCTCTACTCCATGGGCTATATGCGCTTCCAGCCGTTGCAGCAACGCGGCTTAAAACGCGCCAAGACCAACACATTGGTGCGTTTTTATAAAATAATTAATTTAATAAAGTTTAATTTTGTGTCTTTCTGCCACAGCGTTTTGTGGCGCTTCACGGCCAGTTTGAGTTTGAGATTATCAACCCGGACTCGAAGGAGAGCTACCAAGATATACTGTACACGGGCGATACTATAGAAATTAAAAAGGGTAAGCATTCGCCTAGGTATATACCCCAATCATGTAAAATATTTCTTTAATAAATTCTGTTTTACAGGCAGTCGTTACAACATTATAAACCGCTTGGACAAAGTTAGCGTCATAATGGTCTTTCGCAACGGCATGTGAACATAAGCATAAACATGGACTATATATAGTTATTTTTTCCCTTAAGCTGTTAATTACACCTAAATCTATTGTTTTTCTCATAATATTTCTTGTAATATTCGCAGTAGAATTAAGCACTCACTTTTTCTTAAATGATCGAGTGAAGTGAGGTTTTTCACTTGAATAAATATAATAAAGGATTTGCTGCAACTTAACAAA